GCACCGAATTCCTTAGAGGCAAAAAGGAAGCTCAGAAGGGTAATGCCCCAGGAAGATGGCTCAGGGCGGGGGCAGCAGCTCTTTCTCTCCAAAAAGCTTACAACCCCCGACGCCATCGCCATCTTCCTGAATGACCCCCTTTTCCTTCCCTACTCCTCTGGGACCAACTCCACTCTGGCGCCCCCACCTCTCTCACCAGGGTTTTCATCAAAGGTTCTCTGTTTTCATCACAAATATCGTCCTAATACACTCTTAAGGGGCCACTAATGAGGGTGGAGCACTTACTGTGCTGGAGCAGCCGGACCGAATTCTGCCAGCCTATGAGATGGCTGCAGGGGAAGGCCTAACAGATGTTTTTATTTTAATGGATACACATTTATTTTCATGTACATTAGAAAAATACATAGCTAGCACCTGTGATTGTATAGATAGCTCGAGACATGTCTAAGTTAAACAATTTGATTTCAAGTTGATTTTTAAAAATAATCCTACATAATAAAGAGGTAATATGCAATTAACCCTCACGCCATCTCATATTAATGAGTGCTCATATCGTGGCTGTGCCCACAGCAGAGGCGGGGATCCCGTAACACAAGATGGCTGTGCCTAGAGCGGAGGCAGGGCTCCCATAACAAGCCATAACGAGGGATCAGCAGGGACCTGAGGCTGCGCCCTTCCCTGCGGTGGGGCTTGATGGGGGGCCTAAAAGCGCGCCCCCGGCCCCAGCCCAGGCCGGGGGGCCTCAGGCCACACCCCCTGTCCTGGTGCCAGGCCGGGGGACCTCAGGCCACACCCCCTGTCCCGGTGCCAGGCCAGGGGATCTCAGGCTGCGCCCGCTGCCCTGGCACTGGGCCGGGGGACCTGAGGCGGCGCCCCTCACCCAGCGGGGCTTGATGGGGGACCTGAAGCTGCGCCCTCCTCCTGGTGCCGGGCCGGGGGACCTGAGGCTGCACCCCCCCTCTCCCCCCCCAGCGCTGGGCCAGGGGACCTGAGGGTATGCCCTTCACCTGGCAGAGCTTGACGGGGGTGGGGCCGACCGGGTCTGGATCTCGCCCAATGGGGGTGGGGCCAGCTGGGTCTGGGTCTCGCGTGATTTTGAGGTACACGCGGGTGGGCGGGGACTTGACTCTGGGTCCCGCGGCGCACCCCAGACTCTGACAGGAGGAAGATTTTCATATACATTTTACTAATTTTCTTTCATTTCTGACACTTCTATTATAGAAAAAGGGCAAATAGCAATATTAAAATACTAGAGGCCCGGTGCATGAAAATTCATGCACTGGAGGGGGGTCCCTCAGCCCGGCCTGCCCCCTCTCACAGTCCGGGAGCCCTCAGGGGTGGGAGGTGACCCAGTGACCAGGGGAAGGCAATGCCTCATCACACCTCTGCTGCTGCCACTGCCGGCAGCGCAAGCCTTGGCCGGCCCTGGTTACCTGAGCCTCAGGCAGCCCTGGATGGTTGGGCAGCCACCATCCGAGGCCTGCCTGTGCCTTGGGCCGGCCCTGGGCGGCTGGGGGGCTAAGGGGACTGGGGGACTCCAGAGACAGGTGTGCGGAGCAACCGGGCCCGCCTCCAGGCTTTGTCGCATGCCTGCTGCCCCAGCGGGGCTGAGGGGACTGGGCACCGCCATCTTTGAGGGTGTGGCAGTCAATTAGCATAGTCCCTCCTTATTGGCTGTGGGCACCTCCTTATCTTTGTGATGGTGTGAGGGTCAATTAGCATACTCACTCTTTATTAGATAGTATTTCCTCTAATTAATTCCCTTTTAATGTGCACGAATTTCATGCACCAGGCCACTAGTAAGTACATAATAGTATAGGCAAAATCACACACCTGCTTCTCCCTGACCCCCATGCACTCCTGCATTCCCCACCTCAGTAAAGGGCACTGCTGTTGTTCCAACTGAAACCTTGTAGCCCTTCTTAACTCCGTCTTCCTTTGTCATGCACCCCACATCTGATCTGTCAACAAATTAGATCAGCCCTTCCTCCAAAATACAGCCAGAACCCAGCATTCTCACCACTCCTCGGCCATCGCTCCGGCCAAGCCTCTGCCATCTCACATCTGGACAGCTGAGTACCACTCAGCCGGTCCCAGGCTTCTCCTCCTGCCACTCAAGGGCTTCTCAGTGAAGGGCTTTCTCTAATCACAGATCAGGTCACATTGTGCCCTGAAACCAGACGCGCGTTTCACATCACACTTAGAAAAGAATCCCAAGTCCACCCGGGGACCCACAGGGCTCCCTGGAACGGCGCCACCGCCTTCCCCAGCGTCCGCCTCTCCAGCCACACTGGCCTCCTTGCTGCTCCCTTGGGCAGGAATACTCCTTCCCATGCCCCCACTTCATCTCATCAAATCCTGAGAGGCCCTCCCCTGCCACCTGGTGTGAAATGGCCCTCCACCATTCTGTGTGCGAATCCAGGCCGTTCTTCCTCACAGCACCACCTGACGTCATGCTATAGATGTTACTGTATCATATGTAGCCTGTGCTTGTTCACCGTTTAATGTCTCCCTCCTCGAACAGAACATGTGTCTCATGAAGGCAGTGTCCCCTGCGCCTCCACGGTGCCTGCCACACCGTGACATGTGAGGGCACGAACCGTAGGCACTCACTCATGGCAGAACTGAAGGTGGAAGTTCACGCCGCAGTGACCATGCCAGGCTAGGAGCGTAAACACGGTAATTCATTGACTGCTAACAGAACTTCTAGAAGGAAGTCCTCTTCGGTCGGGGAAACCAAGGTTCAGGAATGTTAAGTGACTTGCCCAAGGCCATACAAGATTCAGACTCTGCTTTATCAGACGGCTAGGTTCTTTTGAACACACCAAGCTATCTTCAAAAGCTCTTCTTTTCTTCAAAACACCTTTGAAGGTGCCACACTGCCTGGGGAAGAAAGGGATACTCCTTGGGATGTCATTCCACCAAGTACTCTGCCACCTGGCCCAGCACACCCTCCATGGCAGCAGTTCCCCAGGCCTCCCGGCAAGCCTGCACTGGCTGGGTCAGAGGCCAGCCACAGCCTCTCAACACATTGACGCGAGAGTAACTGGCACTGTTTAGCGGTGTATGGCTCCTTCTAAACTGTCCTGCACATGTAGTGAGGGTGGGCAGATGTCTTTTATCTTTGTGCCCCCAGGCCCAGCCTGGCAGACCTCACAGCCATCTGCTGCATGATGGTGTCTGAGCTACTCTCACCAGACTCAGGACCGTGGAGGGCAGGACAGCAGACCCCGCACACCACCTGCACACTCAGACACCCTGTGAGCAGAAATGTCTTGATCATTATTAGGGCGGGAGGGGACTTGTGTAGACCTATCAGGCATCCCTTTGCCTTTCATTAAGATGCTCTGTGCTTAAAGCTAACGATGCTATCTTTCAAAGATTCTACCACCACCCAGGAATCCATTCTGGCGCTAGTAAAGCTCACCTTCCCTCTAACCTGAGTCCCGTGGGCTCCAGCACACCTAGAGGGAAGGGAAGCTGGCAGCCAGTCTCCTGGGCAAGCCAAGTCAGCCTACAGCAGTCAGCCTACAGCGATGATCACTTTCAGCATCTGCCACACTCCAGCCAGTGTTTCTGAAATGTTTATCACAACAGGGACATTTATACCACCCTCTGGGAGCTTACAAAGCAGAGGGCCAGGTCTACCTAACTCAATGACTAGGCTGACCTGCCAAGTAGGAGTAAAAAAAAAAAAAGGCGGGGCGGGGGGCAGCCAAAGGTGTGGAGAGGAAGAGGTGTTCACTCCCCCTTCCCCCCATTGGGAGTTGCTGTCCAGGAAGAGGAATTTCAGAGTCTACACAAAGCCTGTCATTAATATGCAGCAGTAAGGTCTCTCTCTCTCTCTCTCTCTCTCTCTCTCTCTCTATCATACACACACACACACACACACACACACACACACACACTCCAGTTACGATGCTTCAAGACCCTCAAAGGTAGGAGGGCCAACGCTGAGCACTGGATCTGGCTATAAATGCTTGACTCACTATTTTACAAATATTTACTGAATGCCCGGCACCTAGTGGAGGTAGGTACTAGTGACACTATTCATTACAAAGCACAAGTCCCTGTCTTCCATGAGTTCACTTTTGCACACAGATCCACAGGCAATTACAGGTCCACAGGCAATTACAAGAGGCTGCGATGTCTGGAGAGGACCCCAGGGAAAGGCCCCCTGCTCGCAGGTAAGAACAGCCCAAGGTGCCACCCTGTGTGTGCACCTACGTGCACACGTGTCAGGAGGATGCAGGGGCTGGAAGACACCAGCGACAAACCCATGAGGGTCCAGACTGCAGGCAGAGACGAGTCTATAGAAAATCCTCCCACTGCCTGCCCTTCACCTTACAGACAAGGAAACCGGGGCCGAACGAGGCATGGGGAGTTACCACCAGGACCAGAACCCATTCCTTGAGCATTGGTGAGAGGTTAAGAGGAACGGCTGCCTGATTTTAACGCTCTCTGCCTCTGCCACTCGCCAGCTGTGTGGCCACGAGCAAATGATGCCTCTCTGTGCCTGTCCCCTCGTCTGTACAGCAGGAATAACCACAGCACCTATCTCCCGGGGCTGTCACGGAAATCAAACTTACAACCGTGAAGCCACTGGCAGTGGTAAGTGGTGCACAAGCGGCTGCTGCTGCTATGGTTACTGTCATCCCACCACAGCTCAGCGCCAGACCCGCACCCCTGCTCCCCCAGCTGCCGGGCGCCACCTTCCCTTCCGGCTCTAGAACTGCCCCCCTCGACGTGCCCGCCACACGCTCGCGCCGTCCGAGACCCGGAATCCAAGCCCCGGACGGCCAGGCCCGCACTGCGCACGCGCCCCCGTCCTGGGGAAACGGGGCGGGCCGGCCCGGGACAGGGGAAGGCGGCGGTCGCACTCCGCCAGGGAGAGGTAGGCGGCCGCAGGCGAGGAGAGAGCCGCGCCTGCACCAGACAGCGCCCCCCCAAACCCCCCCGGATTCCCAACCCCCGGCCCGGAGAGCGGGTCGGTTCCTCACACTCTGCAACAGGCTCCTCCTCTGCGCCGCCATCTTGGAGGGACCCCGCGGGCGCGCCCGCCTCCCGCCTCCCGCCGGAGCAGGCGAGAGGGGTGGCTAGAGCGGCCCGGAGCCGCCGGAGGACCGCGCAGCCAGGAGCATGCGCACAGTGCCACCCCCTGGCCGAGGCGGGACAGGCCAGCGCGGAGCGTTGCGCAGGCGCGCTCTTCCACCTGGAGGCCGGATTGAGGTTCTTTATGAACACGACGCGGGTGGCAGAGGGTGAACTGTTCATTCACTCCGTAAGGAGTCCTTGGGTGACCATGCCTGGCCCTTTAGGGGTGAAGTCGCAAGCAAGACAGGGCCTCAAAAAGCTAACCTTTGAACTGGGGAGGACAATGTTGACACGCATAAGTCTCTCAAGTGGTGCCAAGTGCTAGGAAGAGCCGTTCGTGGACGTGGCATGGGAGGGCGGTGTTCCAGGTAAGGGAAGGCCAGGCCCAGTGGAAGGGACGGCGAGTGTGCGTGTTCTAGAAGCATCTTCCACCATCCTGCACTTTGTTAATGAGATGACTGGGGGCTGAAAGCCCAGGTGACTTCAGGGTCGGGGGGAGGGGCTGTTTGTCAGAGGAACCAGCCCTGTGATTAGAGGGTTGGAACTTTCCACCCCCCAACTCCCACTTCTGGGGAGGAGAGAGGAGCTGGGAATGGAGTCAGTCACTGGTGGCCAGCGATTTAATCAATCGTGCCTACGTGATGGAACCTCTAAAAAACCCCAATGAAGGGGTTTTGAACGCATCCGCGTGCCCGGAGGGTGGCACACCCCAAACTCTGCAGGGACAGAAGCTTTTGTACTCTATGGACCCTACCAGATTGTCCCCTATTGCCTCTTCATCTGACTGTTCGTTTGTGTCCTTTATAACGAACGGGCAATAGTAAGTAAAGTGTTTCCCTGAGTTCTGTGAGCTACTACAGCATACTAGAGGCCCGATGCATGAAAATTCGTGCAAGACTGGCCTTCCTTCCCCGGGCTGCCGGCACCGGCTTCCCTCCTCCAGCCGCCCGCAGGCAACCGGGACCCGGGCTGGCTTCCCTCCGGCCCCGGCTTCATCAGGAAGGACGTCCAGAATGACATCCGGAAGATGTCCTGTCTAATTAGCATATTACCCTTTTATTATTATAGATTATGGAATCTGAGGAAGGGGTCATGGGAACCCCTGATTTGTAGCCAAATTGAACAGAGTGTGGGTAACCTGGGGATCCACTACTTGCGACCGGTATCTGAAGAGGGGCATCTGCCCTTAACCGGTGGGGTCTGTACTAACTCTTGGGATTTAAATTACAGGGCACCCATTCGGTGTCTGCAGAGGATGGAGAACTGCTTGCTGTGGGGAACCCACACATTTGGTGTCAGAAGGGTTTTCTGCCTTGTAGGTAAAAACCCCGTAGTTGAAAACTCCCAGGCCTTTCCTGGCAACCCTGGGAGGGAAGCCGACCCTCCAGGCACCTCACCCCTCAGCCTTAGGTTTCCCAAACAGCCAGTTTCCTGCCTCTGTCGTTGTACCTGTTGTCCCCACACTTGACTACCGGGTGAATTTCTACTCCATCTCCAAGGCTCTTAGCAAATGAAAGCCCTTCCCAGAAATCCCTCGATTCCCACCCCAAGAATTACCCCCTCAGTCATTTTTGATCGTGTGAAGCCACAGTTATGAGCCGTGTCCTTCCTGTGGGCGGGACCTGTGGCAGTCAGCTCTGGTCCTCACAGGCCCAGCCAGGCTGCTCAGCGAATGTGTGGCGTCAGATTGGTTGAGAGTCGGGGGGAGGTGAATGGACATGTTGGTAGATGAGGTCAGTTGCAAGGTTCCCAGGTGACTTAAGAGGGGAGCTGGGACTTCAGCTTGGGGCTTCCAGACACCCCCAACCCTCTTTCCATACCTGATTCCCTAAACACTGCACTGTGGCCGGTCCTCCTTCCAAAATTTCTCAGGTCGTGTATGTGTGTGTGTGTGTGTGTTAATCCTCATCTGAGGATATTTTTCCATTGATTTTTAGAGAGAGGAAGGGAGGGGGAGAGACAGAGAGAGAGAAACATCAATGTGAGTGAGACACATTGATTGGTTGTTTTCCCCATGCTTCAACCAGGGCCAGGGATTGAACCTTCAACCAAGGTATGTGCCCTTGACTGGAATCAAACCCGGGACCCTCAGTCTGCAGGCCAACACTCTATCCACTAAGCCAAACTGGCTAGGACTCAGGTCTCATTTTCAAGGTAGTAAGAAGACACTGGGCTCAGCCTGGCACTGGGGATAACAAGCACTAAGTTGGCGCCTCCTGTTTGCAGGGCACTGAGCTCCCAGGAGATGGGGGTGAATACAAGGAACTGCTATTCCTTCTCCTCTAGGAATAGGTGCCTGCGGAACTAGCTGGGAAGTGGACCCTGTTTTCCCAGGACTAGCTCATGGGTCACATGCGTTTGTAATCAATACAAGACCTGCTTCTGCCAGGGGGACAAAGATACCGCAACCATTGATCTTGAAAACCGTGTAGAGCTGGAGTGAGCTCCGGGCCCTATCACAGGCGCCCAGATGTGTGAGGTGCACACAAGGCCGGGAACATCAGATAACCCCCTGCCACTGCAGCGCGACCTTTCCGAACCCCAGGCCCCAGAAGAATGAACAGCCATGCCAGTCAGCTGCCTTCTGGGAACTGCGAGGGGCCGTAGCCAGCCTTTCTGTGCCTCCGGCCAGCTCCCCACAGGGCCAGCACATTCCTTCAGGCCTTTGTTCGGCCTCACAGCCATGGCAGCAGCTCTGGTGAGCTTGTCACAGCTTGGAAAGAGGACGCCAAGGACACTGAAGAATATTCTGGAGGGAGAACAGCACATTCGCCCGCCACCCACCATCCTCACCCTCACCTTCCTTTTTTGCTTTCTCCACTCTGGCCAGAAAGCCGGCGGGGCTTCGGGCTTGGTTGCCAATGAGAGGGCAGAGACCCCCTTGGACCCGGCTCTTGGCCTTTCTGTGCTTTTCTTGGTCACAAGCATTTTGCCACGTGGCTGGGTGGTCTTCGCATTGATTCTCTTAATGGGTGTGTCATGGTCCTTTGACTGGATACATCCTCATTTTCAAATGTGAGCTAACAGGCTTGTTTCCAGTGGGCGCTTTTATAAATAGCTCTGAACAAACAGTGACTCATGGGTTTAAAAACTACTTACTGAATTTCTCAGTGAGGCACGATGAAGTACGTAGGGGAAATGACTCGCTTTCCAATGCTTTAGCAAAGAAAAAAATAAAAAGGGGAGAGATGGAACCAATGAGACAAAATCTGTAATGGGGAGCGGGAGAGAAGGAGGGAGGTGGCGGGTGTATGGGGTTTCATGGTGCCGTTCTCTCTCTTTATGTATATGTTTGAAGTTTTTCATAATAAAAAATCAGAAATGTGAACACAATCCCTGCCCTCAGGGAGCTCACAGTCCAGTGGGAACACAGCAGTTCGACAAGTGCTGGGATGGGGTTAAATGCATAAAATAGTACCCATAAGATTACAACGGAAACCAATTATATGGAAACACATTTATCAAAATATATATTTAAATTGGGCTGCCGTGTCCCAAAGAAGGTGTGAGATACAGAGAGCAGAGCAGGCCGGCCACGGGGCCTGGCGCACCCAGCCGCACTCCGCTGAACCCCACGTCCCCCACAGGTGCACGACCGCTGTTTTAAGCTGCTGAGTTTTGGAAGAGGGTGTTACACACAGAGGCTGTCTGATTCAATGAGGGAGGGGTTCTGCCAACAGAAGCTGCAGTTAAACCTGGAGCAGAAATGGTACTTAAGCACATGAAAAGATGCTCCACATCCTATGCCTTTAGGGGATTGAAATTTAACAAAAATGAGACACCACTACATACCTATCGGATGGCTAAAGTCCCAGGCACTGACCCCACCAAATGCTGGCAAGGATGTGGAGCAGCCGCAGTATATCCATTGCTGGTGGGAATGCCAAGTGGTACAGCTAATTTGGAAGGCTGTTGCTGGTTTCTTAAGAAGCTAAACATAATCTTACTGTATAACCCAGCAATTGTGCTCCTGAGTATTTATCCACATGAGTTGCAAATCGCATCCACACAAAAACATGCACACGGATGTGTATAGCAGTGTTATAATTGCCACAACCGAAGCAACCAACATGTCCTTCGTAGGTGAATGGGTAAACAACTGTGGTCCATCCAGACATCGGAATATTATCTATAATAATAAAAGCATAATATGCTAATTAGACCAAACAACCGAACATCCTTCCAAACGTCCTTCCGGACAAAGCCACGGTGGCTGTGAGGGCCGAGGGCAGGCAGCTGTGGCGGCAGGCAGAGGCAGCTGCAGAAGGGTGATGGGCACGGGCACCTTCCGTGATCGGATTTCTGCAGAGGAAGGCCAGACTGTGGCTTAGGGAGCAGGCCTAAGCCATCAGTAGGACATCCCCTGAGGCCTCCCAGACTGTGAGAGGGGGAAGGCCAGGCTGAGGGACCCCCCCGCAGTGCACAAATTTTTGTGCACCAGGCCTCTAGTCAGAAATAAGAAGAAATGAGCTATTAAGCCAAAAAGACATGGAGGAACCTTAAATGCACAGTACGAAGTGGAAGAAGACTATCTGAAAAGGACACGTACTGTATGACATTCCTGAAAAGGCAAAACTAGAGACATAAAAAAAAAAAAAAAATCAGTGACTCCAGGGGTTCAGGAAGAGAGAGGGAGGGAGGGATGGGTGACGTGCAGGGGACTTTCAGGGCAGCGTGCTTCTCTGAGTGATACTGTAACAGTGGATCCATGAGGTGCATTTGTCAAAACCCATAGAGCTGGACCACACAATGAGCAAACCCTGATGTACACTCTGCTCATTATTGGTTCATCAATGGGAACAAATGTACCACACTACTGTAGGATGTTAGTAAATAGGGTGAACTCTGGGGGGCAGGGCGACAGTGAGTATGTGGGAATTCTGTTTATCTTGCTGGATGTTTATGTAAACCTAAAACTGCTCTGAAAAATAAAGTCTATTTTGAAACAAAAATATTGGGCTATAGTTATAGACGTGCTTATTAATGTGTTTAACAGCAAGCTCTCCTAGCGAGAGGGC